AAATACGGTCATTTTTGTCAGGAAGTGACATTTTTTCTTATGATTCTTTGCCTCTTCAGGAGCTGGCCTAAAAACAATAGCAAAAAACACCTTCAACATTATGCAGCGTCCCTCCACCCGAAAGGGGAGAAATTCCTACCCAACGTATGTTGTGTTTTGGGATGTCTTGACACCGGAGTGATGTAACACAGCGGTGGGGGCGCAACCTGAGTGCAGCCTGGATGTGGTATTAATTTTGTTTAATTTATTTATTAAATCTATATCGCAACCTTCCTCCCAAAGGAGCTCAGGGTGGCATACAACAAGAGAACAATAACATACGGTAATATTTAAAAGAATTCCAATACAGATGCAGATTTAAAATGCTTGATGGAAGAGGAAGGTCTTAACAGAGATGGTGCCTGCCTCATATATAGGGCAGGGATATCCAAAGGCGTCACCACACTAAAGGTCCGATTCCTTCAATGTGTGGGGTGGACCTCTTGATAAGATGGTTTCTGCAGGAGGCCCTCACCCGCAAAGCACAGTAATTGGTTGGGTGTATGAGCTCTGAGATGTTCTATCAGGTGCAAGCTTCAGTCTCCAGGAAATGGTGCGGCAACCACACAGGAAAGATGGCTACCAGGGTCTTGCAGATCCTGAGAGCCGCCTGGAAGGACACATGGCTATTGACTTATGGGAGGCTTAGAGATACAGCAGATCAGTGCACAGTTTGTCTAATGAGAACAATGATCTTAAAGGTTGACCAAGAACATCTGTCTAGATACACTGCTAAGTGGAATATTCTAGGATAATCTGTTCTAAAAATATATATATCTGGGTCAATGAGGGCCTCCCTCCCTCCCTATCCTCATTATCCTCAATGCCCTTTCTCGTATCTCCTTGGTCCTGGCTCCATAGACAATGGGGTTGAGCACTGGAGGCACCAAGAGGTAGACGTTGCCCATTGTGACATGAACCAGCACAGGAAGGTCTCTCCCAAACCTGTGCACCACAGACAGCCCAATCAGGGGCACGTAGAAGGACAAGACAACACACACATGGGCCACACAGGTCCCAGAAGCCCGGAGGCGCTCTTCCTTTGATCTCAGCTGCAGGACGGTCTTAATGATCATCACGTAGGAGACAAAGATGAGCAAAGAATCAAGGCCCATCACCAGGAGAATAGCAGTCAAGCCATATACAATGTTGGGCATTCTGTCCCCACAAGCCAGGTGCATCACATCTTGGTGAACACAATAGGAATGTGTGAGGACAGTGGAGCCGCAGAAGTACAGGCGAATGATCAGCAATGGAGGAGGGAGGAAGAAGACGACTCCTCTCACCACGGCCACCAAGCCCACTTTAGCCGTTACTGCGTTGGTGAGGATAGAGGAATGCTGCAGGGGATGGCAGATGGCCACATAGCGATCCACAGCCATGGCCAAGAGGATGGTGGACTCAATGCCTGAAAGAGTGTGGATGAAGAACATCTGGAGAAGGCAACTCCCATAGCTGATCTCATTGGCATCAAACCAAAAGAAGGCGAGGAGTTTGGGCATGGTGCAGGTGGAGAGAACTAGGTCCACGGCAGCCAGCATGCAGAGGAAGAAGTACATGGGCGTGTGGAGGGCTGGCTCCGCCTTCACGACAAGCACCACCGTGCAGTTGCCCACCACGGCCACAAGGTACATGGCGCAGAGGGGGAAGGCCAGCCAGAAGTGGGCACCTTCCAGGCCAGGTAGGCCCATCAAGATGAATGAGAAGGAGTCGCCATGAGTTCTGTTGGTGGCTGACAATGACATGATTGGCTTGAAGCCCTGTGAGTGCTACTCACCTGAAAGAGAAGGAGAGGGTAGATTCACAATGCCAAATTGGGTTTGATTCCATGAAACCAAAATGCCCTCCTGTCTCTAATTGTAAGCCATGAGGCAGCATCTGCCTCTCTCTTTCTCTGTCACTCTCCCCCCCCCCATTGTAGCCTTCTTTACTGATCACATACTGCATCTTGACCAGCAGGACTCATTGTTCAGGCCTCATGTGTTGGGCATTAGGGCAAGACAGTTTGAGAAACGATTTGTGACTTCTTAATAATTTTTATTAAATTTTCAGTTTTACAATTTCAAATACTCATTTTACATCCTTAAGATATGAATGACTTCCCTTCTTCTCTTTCATGGTTCATTTTACATATCTTAAACCCCTGCATATTTTACAAAAACTATACCAATCAGTTTGCATCCATCAAAACCTATTTACACTATTGAATTGATCTTAATGCTGCCAACGTTTTCAGCTGTATACAATTATTCCCCATATATTCAATAAAGGTTTTCCAATCTTCTCTAAACATATGTTCTTCTTGTTCTCTTATTCTATATGCTAAGTCTGCAAGTTGTGCAGATTAGAAACGATTTGTGTCTTCTGGTAGATGCACCCCATAACTCCAGTAGCAGCTGGTGAGGAGCAACATGGCCACAGACCATGGACAGTGGTCACTGCTGCACATAAAGGTTGAGTGAGCTTGGGCCACTGTGCGTCCACCAGCGGTTGTCTTGGATTGTACCTGCCGGTCCACTCCCCGCCCCACCTGGTGCGTAAGGGGCCTTGTGAGGATGAAAAAGACCCTTTTCTCCTTGGGGTCTTGAGGACCCACCAAATGGAATCCGAGTAAAGAACCATTCTAAGACTCTTGAGGGCTCATTCAGGGTCTTATTGGGAACAAGAAACGCAGCAGACCATTTTTGTTGGTTTTGTTAATAAGAGGCAAGCTTGGCCATTGGCAACAGGAGCCTGCAATAGCCATTCCCAGAAGCACCGAAGCAGCTCTTCTGCTTGATGAACTTTCCCTCAGTGCCTGAAATCTAATGGAACGAGTTTTATAATGGCTTGTCAAAAGAAGTCTGTTGTGGTCAGCAACAGTGCTATTCAACATTTCCCACAGGTCTTCAGATTGGAAGAGCCTGGCTGCCGGATCAGGGCAATGATCCATCTGGTATAGCATCCTCTTCTCCCAGTGGCCAACCAGACGCCTGTGAGAAACCAGCAAGCAAGATTCGAGCACAGGAACCCTCCTGTGGATCCCAGCAACTGATATAATATAAATATATTTAATACAAATAAAATGCCCATCTTCGGACTAAGCAGGAGAGGGTTCCAAGTGGGGTTGGATGGATCAGTTGGTTAGAGTCTGGTGCTGATAACACCAAGGTTGCAGGTTTGATCCCCACGGTCAGGGAAAAAACAATGCTGTCCAGGGTTGTAAAGACTGCGGAGAGAATAACTGGGTGCACTCTTCCCACCTTGGATCAAATCTACGCTTCCAGGTGCCATAAGAAAGCTGCAGAGATAGCGCAGGATAGTGCGCACCCCGGAAATGATCTCTTTCAGCTTCTGCCTTCTGGAAGAAAGGTATAGGGTTCTAAAGACCAGGACTAGCCGTCTGAGAAACAGTTTCCACCCAAATGTGATTTTAGTTTTAAACACAGTGTAAGGTAGTCTCTATGGGAGTATATTGTATTTAATTATGGGGTATCAGAGTTTTTAGGGGGTTAACCAGGCTGGGATAGCTGGGATAGCAGGTTTGTTGGTTTTTGAATGTCTGATGTAGATTTTTTCAATTTCGTTGTTCTGTATGGGACAATGACAATAAAGACTATAGTATCATATCGTATCGTATTGAACAGCTGCCTATTCCTGCACTGCAAGAGGTTGGACGGGATGATCCTCAGGGTCCCTTCCAACTCTTTGACTCTATGATCCTATACTTCTATGATTCTAGTACCAAGAAGAAACCCCCCTCAACATACCTTCGAGAGAACGCTCTGCAGCAGCAGTCGCTGTGTGAACCCTGCCTGCACAACCTCACACAGCCAACACAGCTGTGCAAAGGAGATGCATTTATAGACAGCCCAGTCCCTGGGGGCCAATTTGTTACCTCTGAGAAACCAGCTACGGATTCCAGACTGAAGAATCTGCCCTAATCTAATACATACAGACATTTCTTTTATGCTGAGGCTGTTTTGCACATGGAATCAAGGGACTGTAGAGTCCAACCCTTTACGATGTAATGTCATTGAAAGCCTCCTCCACAAATTTGTCTAATCCTTGTTTGAAGCTACCCCTGTTGGTGACCATCATTACAGCTTTCCCTGATAGGCGTCCTCTGAAGTGTATGTGAGGATTCAAGTCTCCTAAAGAGGCAACGCAGATAGATGTAATCTAAAAGGTAGTTTTTATTCACCACACAACAAGTTTCCAGAAAGGTAGGAACAAATGTGCATACAATATTTCCAGAGGCCCAATTCAGTTTGCCAAAAGTTAATTATACTTCGGTTTGTTTAAAATTATGGAATAAACCCATCATGCATTTTTCAATTTATTATCAACAGTATGAGGAAAGTGGGAGAGAGATAGAGAGGGAGGGAGGGAGGGAGGGAGGGAGGGAGGGTCTCTCAAGGGACCCTTTTCTGTCACCTACAGGGAGAGTCCTCCTCCACCTTGCCTTTCCAGGAGCATGAAGCTCTCTATAGCCACCTCACAAGCAACAATGAGTATAAGTGGGTTTAGGAGATTTCCTATTCTGCACAATAAATTCCAAAGCATATATCACCTACATAGTGGTTGACAACCCTTTTGTTACACATCCCTGAATAACACCGAGGTAGGTCACTAAGAAACACCTTTTCGGGGGCCTCTTTCTGCAGGAGGCCCTTGTCCACGGAGCTCAGTGATCAGTTGGGTAGAGGACAGATCCTTCAGGTATGAGCTTCAGTCTCCAGGAAATGGTGTGGCAACTACAGAAGAATCATGGCTACTAGGGTCTTGCAGCTACTGAGAGCTGCCTGGAAGGACACATGGCCATTGACTTACAGTGGCTTGGAGATGCAGCAGTGCACAGCTTTGTTCTGCCTGATTTGTCTAACAAGGACTGTGATCTTAAAGGTTGACCAAGCAGAGCTGTACAGATGAGCTGTTGGTGAAATAACTCTAGGATAATCTGTTCTAAAGAAAATTCTGGGTCAATGAGAACCTCCCTCACTCCCTATCCTCATTATCCTCAATGCCCGTTTCCGAATCTCCTTGGTCCTGGCTCCATAGACAATGGGGTTGAGCACTGGAGGCACCAAGAGGTAGACATTGCCCATTGTGATTTGAATCAGCACAGGAAGGTCTCTCCCAAACCTGTGCACCACAGACAGCCCAATCAGGGGCACGTAGAAGGACAAGACAACACACACATGGGCCACACAGGTCCCAGAAGCCCGGAGGCGCTCCTCCTTTGACTTCAGCTGCAAGACAGTCTTAATGATCATCACGTAGGAGACAAAGATGAGCAGAGAATCGAGACCCATCACCAGGAGAATGGCAGCCAAGCCATACACAACATTGGGTGTGGTGCTGTTGCTCGAAGCCAGGTGCATGACATCTTGGTGGAGGCAGTAGGAATGGGTGAGGTTGGTGGAGCCGCAGAAGTGCAGGCGGCTGATCAGAAAGGGCAGAGGAAGGAAGAAGACGACACCTCTCACCACGGCCACCAAACCCACTTTCACCGTCACTGCGTTGGTGAGGATGGAGGAATGTTGCAGAGGGTGGCAGATGGCCACATAGCGATCCACAGCCATGGCCAGAAGGATGGTGGACTCCACTCCGGACAGAGAGTGGATGAAGAACATCTGGAGGAGGCAGGTCCTGTAGCCAATTTCCTTGGCATCAAACCAGAAGAGGGACAGGAGTTTGGGCATGGTGCAGGTGGAGAGGGCCAGGTCCACGGCAGCCAGCATGCAGAGGAAGAAGTACATGGGCGTGTGGAGGGCTGGCTCCATCTTCACAACAAGCACCACGGTGCAGTTGCCCACCACGGCCACAAGGTACATGGCGCAGAGGGGGAAGGCCAGCCAGAAGTGGGCACCTTCCAGGCCAGGCAGGCCCATCAAGATGAACGAGAAGGTGTCGCCATGAGTTCTGTTGGTGGCTGACAATGACATGTCTGGTGCGATGCCCTTATGTTGGTCTACACAGCTGAAAGGGAAGGAGAGAGAGAAGGAGTCAAGTGGGTTTGAGCCCATGAAACCAGAATGGCAGCTCCCCATTCCTATGTGGCCAAGCAGAGGGAGTCAATTCCAAGGGGTAATAGGATGAACATTAGCTAGGAGGGGTTGAAGGAACAATGAGGGTAATGCCCAGGCCTGCCAGTTGACTTATTTCTAGTCCAGTTTTAAGACCGTCAGTAAAACCCCAAAGCAGAGCAGAACTAAAAATGAACAGCTCATGTTCTTCAAACCAAGGATCAGGAAACCAAATTTTACGAGGAACCCTTAGGGGTTATGTTTTGCCTGGGGAAGAGAATACAGAGAGGTCACACGATAGCCATCTTCAAATAGCTGAAGGGATGTCACATGGAAGATGGAGTAAGCATCTCTTCTGCTGCTCCAAAGGGTAGGACCTGAACCAATGGTTTCAAGTTACAAGAAAGGAGATTCCGACTACATCTCAGGAGTAAGAGCCTTTTGACAGTGGAACAGACTCCCATGAGAGGTGGTGGACTCTCCTTGCTTGTAGGTTTTGAAGCAGAAGTTGGGTAGCCATCTGTTGGGGAGTCTTTAGTTGTAGATTCCTGCATTGCAGGGGGTTGGACTAGATTACCCTTGGGGTCCCACTCAACTCTACAATTCCATGACTAGGAACATAGGAAGCTGCCTTATACTGAGTCAGAACATTTGTCTATTTAGCTTAGTATTTCCCACACTGACTGGCAGTGGCTCTCTCAGATTTCAGGCAGGAGTCTCTCCCACGTCTACTAGGAGATGCCAGGGATTGAACCCAGGAACTTCTGCTTCCAGGCAAATGCTCTACCACTGAGCTATGGACCTTCCCATTTTTAACAACAAAAACAACAAGAACATCAGAGGACAGGATAAAATCAATAACTGCCATAAAAGCAGTAGTTATTAATGACCACAAGTCAAATTAAAATGCAACCTCCATGCTTGGTTGTGGTGAACTTCTCTGACTAGCAAATACTGGCGACTAAGAGCAGAACATTGAAGGGATGCGGGTGGCTCTGTGGTTTAGACTTGCTAATCAGAAGGTCGGCAGTTCAAATCCCCACGACGGGGTGAGCTCCCGTTGCTCGGTCCCTGCTTCTGCCAAACTAGCAGTTCGAAAGCATGTCAAAGTGCAAGTAGATAAATAGGTACCACTCTGGTGGGAAGGTAAATGGTGTTTCCATGCACTGCTCTGGTTCACCAGAAGTGGCTTAGTCATGCTGGCCACATGACCCGGAAGCTGTAAGCCGGCTCCCTCGGCCAATAAAGTGAGATGAGTGCTGCAACTCCAGAGTCGGTCACGACTGGACCTAATGGTCAGGGGTCCCTTTACCTTTACCTTTAATAGCAGAACATTAGATTCGCGACACATTCAGTGCTGCTGCTGCTGCATTATGTGCAAAAGGCGCCATGTGTGTGGTCAGCCTGCCTGCCAGCCTCTCTTCTCCAATGACCCAGTTGCTGCGGCCACACCCTTTCTCAGTCCTTTTTTTCTGGGGGGGGGGATGCATACCCCTAAACATTTTGTGAATCTTTGTACCTTTGTCCATTTTGCTGTATTTATTTCCCCCGATTTGGACTATAAAATGGTGATTTTCTTGAGTCAATACGAGAGTATCCCTAAACATTTTTTTAAAAGGAAAAAAAAGCACTGCTCTTTCCTACCTTTGACTGCAAAGACATCAGAACAGCAGCCTAACACGTCCTACTCAGAGGTTACCGAAACAACCAGGTCAACCTTTGCCAACCTGATGTTGAGGCATTTGATCAAGGCCTGTATTTTAAAATGAGCTTAAAAAATATATTTGCAAATGTTTGTATGTTTCATGCCAGGCATAAAGCAGCTGGCTGAGTACTTTGGCAGATGTTTATCTTCCTAAACAGGGCCCCCCTGATTTATAGCAGTACCTCAAAGTTGTAAAAGGGAATTACAGGCTGGGAGCAAAGGTTACATTGACCCTACAAATTACAGAATACAATCAAGCTGCAAAAACACTAATTAAGAGTTAGTAAGATTTATTGTTTATTAGAAAATAATACCATGTGCCTCCCATTAGACTCGAGTCATATTTTCCTAAGGTTAAAGGGCAATAGCTAATGGGGAAAGCAGCTGGCTGGGAAAGGGAGTTGTAAATTGAAGAGGTTGCTTTTGAAACTGTTTTTACTAAGTTCCTTTTCTTCTAAAAATCTATCTATGTTATGTATGAAATATATTGGCTTAAATGTAATTATGCAAAGGATTTAGAAAGTAAGAAATGTTAGATTCTTATGTTAGATTCTTATTTCATTGATGGTGTGTGAGAATGTGAACCCAAGATCTCTGTTACCATGAGCCATCTGTTTTAGCCATCTGTTTTGGAGTGAAGGGGCAATAGGGCAATAGGGCAAAAGGTGATCTGGTAATTAAGGTGCCTTGTCGAGGCAAATGTAAGATATATGGCTACTTGTCTGCCATTTATGGATAGAAGGAAATATAGATCTTTGTCTCCCATAAAAAAGGTAATAGGAAATGGGTGTATCTTTTATGATTGGTTCTAGCAAACAGCCAATAGGAATTTCAACCAGGCTGATTGGACAGAGGCAGCCAAAGGAGGAGCAAGGGGGCTGGGCTGAGGAAATATAAGTGCTGGCCATCAGGGCTGGAGTGGGCAGAGCTTTGGTAACTATATACCACTGTGTCTCTCATTTATTTGTCTGACAAATAAATTATTATTTTAATTTCTCTATTGCTGCGTTGAATACTTCATTCCAGCTAAGCGTTAACCACAAGCAGGGTGCTACAATGTCTCCAGATGTTTTGGACGATAGCTTCCATCTCATTCAGCAGCCAGCATGGGCAATGGTCTGGGACGAAAACATCTGGAAGGCGCCAGAATCACAAAGGCTCATCTAAGCACCAGGGTTGTCTGTCTTGAGTTCAAAACATGGAGCTGGAAAGCGGAGGCATGCAGGAAGTTGGACTCAATGAGCCTTGGGGTATCTTAACAATGCTACAATGCTTCTGCGGCTCAAAGTTTGCACATTTTCATGGCGCTTTCTCCCTGAGTTATGGAAAGGGTGAGAGGGGGAAATATTATGTAGCCCTGTCTCCCCAGCACTTCTTCCATTCATACAGAGCGGAATATTGTCATAGATCTTGGGTACCAGAGTCTGTCAGTGAATGGTAGAAATCAATACATGGCAGCATTTAGATAATATCTGGGATATGAAGGGAAAATACAATCTGCAGAACTGTGACATATGCAAATTTCCTAGGTTAGCTTTGGACTTAAGCTTTCTGAAGGGGGGCAATGAGGGACACTCTAGGGGCATAATGTTCTGAACCCCCCCCCCCATTGAAAACCTCCGGCGTAAATATATTCCAAATAAACCATGCCGCATTGGCCAGTATATCAGCCACACATTTATTCCAAATTCCAAAGTGCGGCTTAAATTCGTGACCTTACAAAAATTGGCTTTTACGATATCACTGCTGAAACAGACGTACGGTAAAACAGAACCAAAAAAAAAGGTTTATTGCCAATTTGCGAGCTTGAATGCCTGCGGAATTGTAGCAACTGAATAGCGATTTGCAGCTTTAGCAATTCTATGTTAACTTTTGCGGGCTTGCAAGACCGAAGGCTTGAATTGACTAGGAGTTACAATTCTACTAACCACAGCACTTTTCAGCCTGTAACCCAATTTTAAGGGAGCGGCTTATATTCGGGTATTGTCTTCTTTCATCTCCCCTCCCCTTTGAATTTTAAAGGTGCGGCTTATTTGCAGGTGCGGCTTATATTCGGGCCAACACAGTGTTTCTTAGAGAAACTCTAGCCTTCACAGTGCCTTGATTTTCCCAGTGGAAACACAATCCTGGGTGGGCTTCTGGACCCCCCTGGAATCTTGCTATCGCTCTGCAGAGATTAGGGCATGGAATGCAACCTTCGTAACAATACTTTGAGTGGAACACTGGGATACATGGAGGTTGCTGTGGTTTTTATAGAGGGCAGGCAGTGTACACACCATAACTTTAGCACATTTGGAGCATGTTCTGTCCCTTAAATAATTCTCTTGTTCACCTTGCACAGAGCTAAAGTTCCCAGAAACCCTTCGATCGTAAGAGCAGCCTGTGTGATCAAGCCAATGGCCCATGTAGTCTAGTATCCTGTTCTCACAGTGGCAAAAAGATGCTTGTTATGGGAAGACCACAAGCAGGATCCGAGCGCAAGAGCATCCTCCCCTCCTGTGGTTTCCATCAATGCAGGCGCAAACTGCAGTGCCCACAATTCTTTGAGGGGGAAAATAAGAAGAGCCTTCAAATGTCCTTCAAAATATGCTTCAAAAATGTGTTTTAAGGGTACAGTGGTTGCACAGCCCATGAGACTGTGCAGACAAGCAAATTGACTCTTGGGAAACCTCTGCGTAAAAGAAGCCTGCAAACCAGCCCCAGGAAGTTATTCTCCCAACCTCTCCTTGATATCATCTTGGTAAAAAGCCCCATACAAGTGTCTGGCCTCATACAAACATCACATCTCCCTGTTTCTGCTCCGGTGCCTTTTATCGCGAGCAGACGCCTCGAGACAGGATGAAAGGATTCTCAACTTTTTTGGGGGTGGGGGTGGGTGATACACAAAGCCCAGGTTCGCAACACACCTAAGATTCAAGAGGCAAGCATCCCCTACCTTTCCCGTACCTTTGTCACTCTGGGAGGGGGCTCATCCTCTGGCACCAGAGGCCAGGTGGATCCTTCCTTGCAACGAAAGCCACTAGCAGAACTGAACAGGCGGGAGGAGGCTGGAATTATAGCACACTCTCAAGCCCGGCCCCTTGGGGACAGTTTGTCATTGCCACGGGGGGGGGGGGAGGGCTGCAAGAAGCTCAACTGTTGAACTGAAGCTGCCTTATATAGCTAGGTCAGTGTGGCATGTTCTGACATACAGCAGCAGTAGCTCTTCAGACAGAGCCGTTTTCCCAGCCTGAGGATCCCTTTCCGATGAAAGATGAGGATGAAGACTGAACCAGGGACCTTATTCGGCTGGGGAGGGAGGGATATAAATAAAATTTTATTTTTATTATTATTATTCATGCACAGGATGTGCTCTGTGACACTACTTGAAAGGAGACTCCTTAGGGTAGTGAAAAAGTGGGATATTAAATCCAAACTCCTCCTCCTCCTCCTCCTCCTCCTCCTCCTCTTCTTCTTCTTCTTCTTCTTCTTCTTCTTCTTCTTCTTCTTCTTCTTCTTCGCCTTGGTGAAGACTTGATGTTTTTATCCCCCAAAATGTTTTTGATTGAGTTTCCACTGAATTGAGGCTGTGTTTTAATGTTTCAATGTTGTATTTTAATCTTGTTTTTTCAGCAGTATTTCAATCAATTGTTTTTATATTTGGTGTTAGCCACCCTGAGCCCGGTCTTGGCTGGGGAGGGCGGGGTATAGATAAATTATTATTATTATTATTATTATTATTATTATTATTCTACTGCAGCACACAGGCAGACAAGGGCTTCAGTATGCCTCTGCCCCAGTTCTCTCTTGCTGATGATCACGGCAGGTTGCACCATGTTGCTGACAAACAGATAACTCAGGCGCTGAGGAGGAAGGATCCATGGCCCAGGGAGGTCTTTTGTCAAACTGAATTGGAAGAAGAGCAGGGGAAACGGAGTCATGAGCAGAGTGTTTCCGAATTCCATCAGTTTCCGATGATGAGCATAAAAAGCGTTCAGTAAATTACATTTGCTGTGGTCCCTGAATGACCCTCTGGGTTTCTTCCAGCTCAACCAGTTGCATTCTGTGAAACTTTCTCCTCTGTGTAAATGCACACAGGTTTGCAGCCTAAGGCAGCTG